AAGTAAGACAAAATATTTCAACAATACCAATTTGGTGTTTTGAGTCGGTAAATAAAGCTCTTTATTAATGTCATGAATGTGACTCAAATACTCCATCATTGTCATAAACTTCAGCAACCTGCTGACTCTAACCACTTCAGGGAAGCAATTCTCAACAGAAGCTGCATGATAGTAAATGTATCTCAATAGATCCTACACTAGTCAGTCTTGCACCTGTCTTTGCACATCAACCCCATAGTGTAAAAGATAAAATGCCACTCTTCCACCCGGAGACTTCTAAGCTATCGAAAACGCTGAAAGTAACTAGTACATTTCATCTGACTGCTGGTACATCTGCATCTGGTGAAAAATCGAACTATACAGGCCTCATTTGCATGCGCAAAGCAGAGTCACATTGGAAGAGACAGTACATGATCTAAGAGAGTTAAATTCAGCCTGCAGAATCCTGAAGGCTTCTGTGTGCGGAATGCTGAATTGCGCCTGTGTGCGCTCAAGTGTTGTGTAGCAATGTGTATTTGTGGGGCTTTTCTCCAATAACCTTTCTGATTAGTGTGTCAGGTAAGGGAAGCAGTGGGCCAGAGACATTAAATAATTCACCACCTCGCTGTTTGCTATGCAAGTGGACATGGTTGAAATGTAGATGTGGCTCCGTCATGGAAAGAGGGTTTATTGCTAGTCGGGATTTATTTTCTTTGGACAAAAAATTCCTGATCTACGTGCAATTTTTTTTTTTATTAGTATTATAAAATCATACTAATAATAATATGCTTCTGGTATGTTTTTCTTGTACATTATGTGAAAGCAAACTTTTGTGAACAGAAAATATTAGACAAAAAAAATCTGTTACCAGAAAGCCTACACATAGTGTGCCCTGACATACCTAGCTGGCCGAAGACATCTCAGTCTGAATGACTGATCTAATTTTACCATAAAGAATGTTCTTATACCCAGTATGGCTGGACAGTGTGATCACCTGCTGACTTGGCACCATCCACAGGCAGCGTAACTCAAACATGCTTGGGACATGTTTGAGTTAGGCTATGTTTACTCTAGCTTTGTTAGCAGGCATTAGGCAGGTGTTTGGGAAGCGTTTTTAATGCTCCTCAAATGCCTATGACAATTCTACACATAGCAGCACACAGTGCTGTTCACACTGAAGCGTTAGTGTCATGGCAAAATTGACGCCTCATGTCGAGTCTATAATTGAAGCCTCCCATTCAAGTCTATGGTGACGCTCCTCAAATGCCTGGAAGGCATTTGTGGGGAGTTTGCGGAGCGTTAACACCATTAAACTTCATTATAGGCGTTTGTGGTGTGGTTTTAATGCTTGGCAAATGCCTCAAAAACACGCATAGGGCGTTTTGGGGAGTGTTTGAGGAGCGTTAAAAATGCTTCCCTGTCTAACACCTGTCAAATGCTATAGGGGCGTTTGGCAAGCGTTAGAAAGTGTGAACAAGCCCCTATGCTGCTTGAAGATGCTTGAGACCTATACTCAGGCAAAAAAGTTAACATAAATACAAAAAATATAAATGTTAGATTATCATTCTAAATTCATAATTCGGCATTCATAGGAATTATCTTACATTTATGGTAAGCTTGCAAAATATTTGGTTTTTATGATTAATCATAATTAACATTAAAATGTGTGTTTGGCCTTGAGCAAGTGATACTGTCGAATTCTTTAGTTATAGCTGAGCCAGAAAAATGTCAGAGTATTTGGAGTTAAAGTGTTACTAAACCCAGGACCCAGCATTCACTATATCTGGTCTCCCACAGTACACACATGGAAATGCTATTATTTTAGTAAATATAAACTGCTAAATACCTTTTTCTCATCAGCAGTTAGAGCAGTCTTGGGACTTCTATCAGTGTTCAGCAGAGCACTGGTTAAAGCTAGTAGGAGGAGTTTTCGCTAGGAGGATGCAGAACCCCTGACCTCTGTCTGGGCAGTGCTGATTGGCCCTGTGCTGATCACATGCACTATCCCATGAGAAAAAAAAACCTCTCTAGCAATACACACCAAACTGAGCACGTGCAGTGTTTCCACACAATATGTCTTATCAGGAGATAAGAGGGAGGCACTAGAAGAAGGGGAGGATCAGAGAAGTCAGGATCAAACACCCATTTTACACAATGCAGAGGCTTAACCCCTTAGGTTCCACAGTGAGTATAACAAGCATGCTTTACTGCATATACAGACTGGTTTTACTGTTGTGGGTTTAGTAACACTTTAAGTTAACTAGCTGGAAGCTGAGTATTTAGGACATTTCTGTAGATGGGCATATCTGGTTAGAAGACCTCTGGTGTAGGGTGTCATGGGAATCAGAAGTGAACCAAACTAGAATTAGTATGAAATAGTATATTCTAGTAGTATCTGTGTGTATTTCATTTATGTTGGTAATATGTGTTACATAAGTAGATTTTTTGGTTATACAACATTATAGAGATATTATGTTGTAAAGATAGATTCTTAGTTATACTATCCTTTGAACAGAGAAACTGGTCACATGAGTAAGCTGATGCCACATTGTCATCTTTAACTTATGAAGCCACATTTTAGATCGAGAATAGAAGGTTACATATGGGCTTGTCAATATAAAAGACCATATATGTAGTATCCCCTCCTTTCAAGGAAATTGTTGTACTAAGCAAAATTAATGTTTGCCATACAAGATTCTGAGTTATGAGAATTATGATGTCTACATGTAACAGAAAAAATACATCCCAAGAGATGGAAAGGTCACATACATACACACATCCATCCAGTCACACACATAGAGACACACAGACACTCACAAGCAAGGCATGAAGACACATTTGTTACGGTGGGGAGCAGGGGCGGACTGACCATTTGGAAACTTGGGCACTGCCCGAGGGCCTGGGGTCATGAGATGCCCCTGGTACCTTTTTCATAGGCTTTTTTGAGTTTGAGTTTGGGCAAGGACACAGGGGCCCCATGATCCTCTATTGCCCGGGGGCCCTATGAGTTGTCAGTCCGCCCCTGGTGGGGAGGCTCAGACACATTACTTGTTGCAGAAGCACATGGAGAGGCATACATGCTTTCATAGGCTTGATACATTTTTATAACTTGTTTTTATTTCTTATATTTTTGTTTTACCTACACTGAACTGTTATTTATGATACTTTTTACATTGTATTTTTAAGCCATTTTGTGATAAAATAAAATCACACTTTATTTGTACTTTGCCGACTCTTTAATTATCTAAAATTGCATAAAAACACTGGAAATTATTATGTGTCACAGAATATTCTACAGTAAATTATGAAAAAAAAAGAAACAAAAGCAAAAGGGCACATTTAATGGACCTCTTGAAAATTTTTCTGCCATCACTTTTCTCTGTTTCTAAGACACAGAAGTTGAATCCAACACAGTTTTACTTCTGCTAACTGCAGTACAGGATGCTTTTCCAGTCTTTTGAAGCATAGGAAAACAATGTCCTAATCCCTGCCTCTGCCAAGAACTGACACTGACTAGGGGAACATGGGGAGAAACAGGGAGGTTCTAGCTAGAACTGAACTAACTAGCGCTTAACAGGAGGGGAGGACAGAGGGAGATATCATTATAACAAAGTAAACAAGTTGTAGTGGCCCAAAACTGCCACTAGATGTTGGCATACCACAGAACAACAGTAACCTGCTGCAGTTCAATACAACACAGAAAACAATTACATGTAAGTGGGACAGAACAATGAGTGAAGACCAATATAAAGCGGATCTTGCCGTACAATGCAGGGTCCACGTATAATGTCTGGGCCCCTCCCCCTTTAAAAGTCTAATGTTAGTGTTACAAAATGTACATGTAAAGAAAGTCAGATGTGTTTGTACGTCCATCTGTCTCATCCCAGGGTGTGATCACACATCTTTCCAAGAAGATTCTTGGGGAATGTAGAGAAGGTGAAATTTTGCAAGAAAACACTCCAGTCCACTGAAAAAGTGTCTTCTTGTGAGAAATTGGCTGCCCTGTAATTCCCAAAATCTAGCCAGAAGAAATACGGCTTTATCCTTTTGTATCCATTAGAAGCCTAACATGGGGATAAGGTAAGTATAAATGAAATTTTGTACTTTACAGGTACATTTTGGAACTACTAAAAATAGGAGGAGGGGGTCCTGACAATATACGTGGATCCTGCATTTTTCTACAAGCTCCACTTTAATCCATTCCAATATATCCAGCTAGGTAGACCCTTTCACATTTTTGAAGTACCCATTCAATCATGGAGGTCCTTGTAGAAGATTGGTATGTGTTTGGCTAGCTTCAGTCTAATGGCCTTTAACATAAAGACAGACACCAATGGTGTTTCCGAATCCTTGGCAAACAATTACAAATGCTGATGATGTTTTGGGTTTTTTTTGTAATTAACTTTTTATTGAGTTTCAAACATTTACAACAAACAGGAGTGCATAGAAACACGGTATGACAAACACAAAGAAGCATAAGAGAAAAAACAGAAAAACAGGCTCATCGATGAGAGGTACATAGATACATACAATGTCAATACATAACAGTGAAATTAATAAACATTGTCAAACATTTTGAGCAGACAAGTCAGAATTAGAAGTATCCCATGGGTCCCAAACTACTTCAGATGTGGAAACAGAGTTAGCGTGCAAAGCAGTTAGGTATTCCATTATTCTAATCTCTGCTATAACCTTCATCAATTCAGATAGCATAGGGGGCGTAGTAGAAAGCCAATGCATGGGAATGGTTCTCCTGGCCACCGTTAGAACATGGGAGGAAAGTTTACTTGCAAATTTGGAGAGGCCTGAGAAAGGTAGGCTCAACAAAAAGTGAATGGGCTCAAATGGAACAGAAACCCTCAAAAGTAGCCATAGTAGGGTAAGGACCTCTTTCCAAAAGGGTGCAATGTACTGGCAGGTCCAAAAAAATGTGAAAGAGTGTCAGTTTCCTCGCCTCTGATGATGTATTTTATAGTCTTTCCTTGAACAAGCTTTATGACCTTATTCTCCGTTATATGCAGGTGTAAATGTAACTTACATGCCAACGCATGCAACTTCCGAGATGGGGCCCTACAATGTGAGTGTGAGCATAACACCACCGGACAGGACTGCGGAAGGTGCAAGAAGAGTTTTTCGCAAACCGTTCCTGGCGTGGTGGCTCTTACACCCCATTACCTCATGGATCTCCCAATGCTTGTAAGTAATGGGATTCAAATTTAAGTTTTTATATTGTGCTTGTCTCCTGCTCCTTATAGAACCAGATTTTTTGAGCTGACCAGTATTAACTTTGTCTACTTTTACACCAAGTTTGGAGATGTCGTTCACTCAATACCAAGCAATTAATGGGGAAACTTGGGGAGATGGGGGAGACATTGGATACAATGGATACCGTCAATGAAAATACACAAATGACACACAGTTCAGATCCCTAGTGGAGGGTTGCAGTTCTCTAAACACTATAATGTGTTATGTAGCCATTTGAAATACATTGCAAAGAGAACCTAAGCTGATCATGCAAAATAAAAGCCAACTCCCCTTCATCTTTACATCAATTTTCTGTTAAAAACCCGGATATTTATTCCATCCTTGCCTTTTGGCTAGGTATTTGTTGATCCTATATATGGAATGGGACATTTTGTTGATCTAAGTTTCCAAACCTGTCAGTTCAGGCAAGTAACCATTTTTGTAGGACAGTGACGGTGGTCAAGATTATATGTAAAACTTTCCAAACTTTCTTTCATTTTTTATCAAGTAATTTTTCAGCAAAAAGTTTAATTATTTCCATTTTGTATACAACCAAAAGAAAAAAAACTAGTAAAGAGTAAGAACAATCTTTACTTAGACAATAGAATGCAAGAACAATCTACACAAATGAATGACAGGTAGATCAGATAACATAACAAATGCCAGTTGGGCCTGTATAAAGCCAAGTGATGTCACATAAGGCACTTAAACTATGAAACCTGTGGGAAATAGGCAGGGCCGTGGATAAGAGGGTACCACCAGTCCTTATGTAGGGGGCCCAGGGCAGCAGAGGGGCCCAGGCAGCTGGGTGAATTGGATGTGGGCAAAGAGGGTGATCGGTGTGGCCGGGGGGAGGGGGGCAATTGCTGGAACCGATCCCCTGTATGTCTCTCTGTGCAGCAGCTAAAAGCTGTTTTTTTCTCTGGCTTTCAGCTGCTGCAGGGAGAGCCACACAGGGGATCGGTTACAGTAATACCCCCCACCACACCCATCACCCTCCCTGTGCACCATACGTTTCCCCTGCTGCCAAGGCTCCCTGTGTGCCCCCACAGTGCTGCCAGCTTCCCTCCTGCAGCTGTAAGCGCACAATAGAATCCTTCAGGAAGGAGAGTGGGGGAAATATCTGGTAAATATGTCACATTTACCAGCCCCTTCCTTTCCTGAATGAACACAATGATCGATCGGTACCAATCACTCACTGTGTTTATTTATAACTAAAGCATAGTCAACTGTTTAGTTTTTTGTTTTTTTTTTTCTTTAGTGGGGCCCTGTCAGGTTGGCTGTATGGGGCCCTGTGGTTTCTAACAGAAGCCCTGGAAATAGGGATAAACACAATAATCTGAGCAGGACAACTGGGGCAGGGCTAAACTAAGAGAGGTCAAGCAAATTAACCACAAGTTAAAAAATGTTTGTTGACGCATATGTGTTGAGTTTTCCCCTTTTCCAGTAGGTTAGTAACCATTTCAATACCGGGCAATTTTACACCTTCCTGCCCAGGCCAGTTTTCAGGTTTCAGCGCTCTCACACTTTGAATGACAATTGCGCGGTCATACAACATTGTACCCAAACTAAAATTTTATCATTTTCTTCACACAACTAGAGCTTTCTTTTGGTGGTATTCAATCACCACTGGGGTTTTTATTTTTTGCTAAATTAACAAAAAAAGACCAAAAATTTTGAAAAAAAAAAAAAGTTTTTCTTTGTTTCTGTTATAAAAGTTTGCAAATAAATAATTGTTCTTCATAAATTTTTTTTTGTGCTTAGCTGTGATTTGGCCACAGCTAATCACCTGACATGTGCATGTGATTAGCTGTGACCATTCACAGCTAGACACTAGTATACAATGGATGGCATGAATGAAGCCATCCATTGTATACAACTGTCATGTGACCTGCTGTGATTGGTCACAGCAGGTCACATGGTATCGGCAACGGGGCCGATACTCAGATCTGTCATCGGCCGTGTCCGATGTACGTGGCTGGTGACAGATCGCGCTGCTGCGCCGCTCTGCAGGAGCGCAATCTGCGCATGTGCGGGAGGACGCCATATGGCGTCCATCCGGAACGCTGATGACATTTGCCGCCCGCCATTCGGCCATAGGGCGGGCGGCAAATGGTTAACAATATACTTCCACTAGGTGAATGATGGAGGTACATAAGGGGTCCATTTCTGTTATCAATTTCAGGGCAATATATAATAACCTTGTAAGCGTTAGAAGTTATAGATTGGGGAACTACAGTAGGTCCTTGGGAAAAATGTCCTTGGGAAGAATGTCCTGGGGAAGAATGTCCAGTGTGGAAAACGTTTTTAATCTCTATGGGAACGTTATAGGGCTAGTAAACCAGTGGAAGTAAAAACATAAATAAACTGATACCTATTTGAATAGCTGCTCTGTTCCTGTGTCTACTACCCAGGTATCTCCAAATAGTGCAAACAATCATTAATGTGATCACTGGTTCTGGCCTCCAGTTCCTCATTTGTGGTTGGCGAGGCTTCCTGTCGTGGTCATGAGCCAACAATCAGATGCAGGAGGAGGAAAGCCAGAGCCATTGACCAGAGAGCACCACCTGTCTTTTCCAAGATTTCATGGGGCTAGACAGCTGTTTCTTTGTCCGAACACCTTCAAATAGTGTTGTTGTTAATGCAAACAGTGAGCACGTTTGTCCACCTTTTAGTTCTTAATTATTGGTTAGGGTGGCTGCCGCTCACACTGAGCCTACAGTGTGGTGCAAGAAAGGGAATACCAGAGACAATGACCAGAGAAGCCACCTTCATTAGACATCCTGGGGCACCATGCAGAGAAACAGACCTGGTGTGCAGTCATCCCATACAAGAAAAGTACGGATTTAATCATATTTTTTCTCCCTACAGGGTTGCTTTAAGGCACCTTGTATTCTCCCGAACTCTCTTAGAGGCTGATAAGTGAACAAGCTTAAGCTGTTGTGTCAAGCAGAGGAAAATTACAGACAGATTATCTTGTTAAACATTCGCTAGATGCACAAAATACAATCACTTCAGAGATGATGTCCTCTTGGAGTTTTCCAAAGAGACCACAGCTTTTTTCCCCTCTCTCGCCTTTCTCTCGTTCTTGCTTTAAACATCTGCACTTTAAATTGATCAAAGCTAAAACTGAAGCATTCAGAGGACTGTGACTGGGGTGTCACCGTTACTGCGGAGAGAAGGAGGATTTCAAAGGGAACAAGCTTGTCAGATTGAGCTGGCCGTCTGTATCCCTTCAAAGGACCTGACAAAGACACGCAGGGCTTAGACTGAGATCCTTGTTCTCTGTATTTTTGAAAACTCTCCATCCTCTGTCTTGCCCCTTCCCCGGGTGAGATTTAAAGGACTAGTATGCCGTAGACAAAAGGTTACTTTATTTGAAATAGTTCCTTATAACATTTACTAATACTGTATGTTATAGGTGGAATCGCTTACTAGCAAAGGAAAGTAGATACAGTAACTGACATTTATGTAACTTTGCTGCACATATTATTATTGTTCACTGTATAGTGCTTTACAGAGTACATAGAAACATTTTCATCAGTCCTCACAGTGCAGGACCGAACTGGGGGACAGTGGGGTTTTGCCCACTGGGCCAGTGCTACATAGTTACATAGTTAGTCTGGCTGAAAAAAGACAAAAGTCCATCCAGTTCAACCATTTAAAAAAAATAAAAAGTTATAATCCTATACCCACAGTTGATCCAGAGGAAGGGGAAAAAACCCAGCAAAGCATGACCCAGTTTGCTCCTGCAGGGAAGAAACTTCCTTCCTGATCCCCCCTAGAGGCAATCGGATATCCCTTGGATCAACTTTACCTATAAATGTTAGTATCCAGTTATATTCTGTGTATCTAAGAAAGAATCCAGGTCTTTTTTAAAGCAATCCACTGAGCTGGCCAGAACCAACTCTTGAGGGAGTCTATTCCACATTTTCACAGCTCTCACTGTGAAGAAACCTTTCCGTGTTTGGAGATTAAATTTCTTTTCCTCCAGACGTAAAGAGTGCCCCCTTGTCCTCTGTGATGACCTCAGGGTGAATAACTCTACACCGAGTTCACTATATGAACCAGTGATGTATTTTATACATGTTCATCATATCCCCCCTTAATCTCTTCTTCTCAAGAGAGAATAAATTCAGTTCCTCTAATCTTTCCTCATAGCTGAGCTCCTCCATGCCTCTTATCAGTTTGGTTGCCCTTCTCTGTACTTTCTCCAGTTCCCCAATGTTCTTTTTTGTTCTTGATATCTTGAGTGGAGATACAGTATATCACTATTCTGATCAAAGTGGGTGACTGTTGCTGGGCATTATACCATCAGCCTGCGCTTCCAGATGTGTTAAATTAAAATGTCCTAAAGGAACGTAGATGCTCCAGGTGTGTTATATTAAAATGTCTTAAAGGAACGTAGATGCTCCAGGTATGTTATATTAAAATGTCTTAAAGGAACGTAGATGCTCCAGGTGTGTTATATTAAAATGTCTTAAAGGAACGTAGATGCTCCAGGTGTGTTATATTAAAATGTCCTAAAGGAACGTAGATGCTCCAGGTGTGTTATATTAAAATGTCCTAAAGGAACGTAGATGCTCCAGGTGTGTTATATTAAAATGGCCTACAGGAATATAAGTGTTCATCTTGCCCACCAATTGATGTGGCACACCTGGCAGAGATGTCTGTCCCTACCATGAATGGTGTAGTTGGTTGCTTCCCCCCCAGACTAAAAGTTTCCAGTCCTTCTCAGGATCTCCAACCCAGAGGAACTTTCAACATAATGACCCTACCACATGTATGTACACATTTGGGACCAGTTTTCTAAGGAACCATTTCATATACCGGTATGTTCTGGGTTATAGGAGGAGACTGGAGAATCTGAATGAAATGCACTTGAATACAAGAACATACTGGTCATTTTGACATGGTTTTCACTGCTTTGCACATTTAAGACATTTACTAAGGTTGCATAGCCAAGGTTTGTGTCA